TCTACTTAAGCTAGCATTTACAATTAATCTCTTTCTAAAATTAACAAAGAAGAATGATATAAGCCTTTTAAATATTTGTATATCAAATTAAGTTATCATAGATCCTCTGGTCTCTGAGTTCGTATAGTTAATACCAAGCCGAGTTGTTGCATAATATTACTCAAAAAGATTATAATTTCTTCTGCAGACAGTAGCTCATCTTGTGCCAGTGAATAGGATCATATTATATATGGGTACATATATGATATATATTATGGCTTAAGTGCCTTTAGCCAAGAACACAATATGCTTTTATCAAGCTTAGGCATGGACTTTTTAATTATTTATAGCATATCCCAAAGCCTTACTTTACTGTTATGAAACTTATTTTAATGGGCTTTGCCCGACATATCTTAACACTAAAACAATTTGTAGTTACTTTTTGTATAAAAGCGACCATATATCAATTTTGCTGACAGCAGTACTTCGGGCCTCTAAGTTCCTTGGGTCTGGCAAACGTCTCAGCCGAAATTCACGCTGCCTGTCATACACCTTACTCAAACTATTTGCCAACGTAACATGGGCAACTAACCCACAAAGCCTACCCTGCACAAGCAAAATAAAATAAAATAAAAGAGCAGCCGTGAGTGGACTTGCCTAAGCAGTGGCTTCCGCCCTCCGCCCTCTGCACTCTGCCCCTGCTCATTTATCAGCTGAGCAAGCGGCGAATGTGGCCCCACCCAAAAACAATGGCAATGCACAGGCACAGGCACAGGACCATTTGCCCCGCTGCCCGCGCTGTGGCACCCTTCGCGGTGTGAGTCCTGCCAACTGTGCGTAACTATAATTAATTTCATTTTAGACTTGTTAGCAAATAAACGAGCAAACGATGCGGTCCATTGTTTGGCTACAGACTTGCCATTGCAAAAGTGAAAGTCACCCACAGCACGAACAGGGCCAGGAGCGGGGGCATGAATGAAAAGGGGGTGGGTGGGAGTTTGTGTGTGCAGGCGTGGCACTATTTAGTTAGTCGCGCGCCGCAGGGCGTCCTCGGCACTTGTCCGCCACTTGAACGAGCTGCCAAGAGCTAGCGGCCCGCCTTCCTCTTGCCATGCCACGCGCTCCGACCGCTGGCAACTGTTGCACCTAATTCCCATTGATTATTTGCTAATGAGAAGGAAATCGATTGCCATTTCTGATATGACTTTTAGTCGCTCTCTCGCTCGCTGTGGGGCTGTGCGATTTGAGATGCTAGCAAAGTTACTTGATATCACCTGGCCAACAGTCGACCCGCTGCTTGAGCCATACGACTTGTTGTGCACTTGAATTATGCAGGCACACAGCGCGCACACACACACACGCACACGCACACACACTAACATACACTGAAACAGGCCCATGGCTGATGTTGCCAAGGTGGCTGCTGCGGCGCATGCCAAAGGAAATTAGATTTTAGCTCCAGCAGCAGCAGCAGCAACAACAGCGGTTCTCAGCACAAAACACCGACAACAATAGCGGCAAACGGGACGTTGAGAGGGGGGGTTAAAGTTTTTGATGTTGGCTCTTCTGGGGGGGTGGCCACGTGTGGGGGCAGCTGGGCTAAAACGGCTTAAATGCTTTGGCATCGCCTTTTCGCTTGATTTGCATAATGGCTCTTGGGGCTTGTATGGCGCCGAGAAGTATGCTACACATTTGCACACACACACACACGCACGCACACACACACACACACATTCTAAAGGGGGCTGCCCAGGGGCGGTTTAAGCACTTTAAGCGCGCCCAAGTCGATGTGCAGCCAAACTACTTTATAATGAACTCAATGAAGCGCTTTTAAGTATGCTAGCCATTTGCCAATCGCCTGGTTAGATGTTGCCCAGGGCCAATTCGGAATTACAGCCAGGCCCAAATCAATGCATACAGTCAAGCTCTCTCGAGTAAGCTTTGTATATGCGTTGCCCGTGAGCAAGTCAGAGATTTATATGCAGCTGCACTACTTTACAACAGACGCAAGTGTGTGCGCTGTTAAGTATGCAACACTTTTGCGCTGAGCACTGCCCGAGGATGCACCATATATATATGTGTATATACATACACATAAATGTACATACATTCACAAAAAATAAGCGAGATAAATAACAAAAAAAAAACACTGCAGAACTCTCATGAAAAACTGCAGAGCCTACTTGAATTCTTGAGAATCGAGGAGTAGAGCACTTGGTAGAAATTCGTTTTATTTAAATTTGCAAAACAGCGACAAATAAGTTTGTTCTGCGTTTGATAGAAGAGAACTATGGATGCATGCATACACCAACACACACACACGACCACACACACATACATACGTATATACACATATATAATACTTATATGCATTTGTAAAAAATACCTGTATTATTATTAAGCTCACTGTTTTAAGATTTGTGTAGAATATACACATTTTTTTATAGTCAAACAACTTTAGAATGAACTGTGTTCTGTAGCCCGTGGTGGATCGAAAATTTGATATGCGACTCAGAGAGACAGAGAAAGAGAGAGAGAGAGAGAGAGAGAGAGAGAGCGAAAGAGAGCATAAGACAATTATTTGGCTTACTTTGGCAATCAATATTATCAGACCCAATTTCGGATCATTCAGGATTTCTTAATGGCAAGAAAAATGTATCCCAAACTTAAAATTATAAAGCTCATCAATAAATCACAATTTAAGCACCTTGTGCTGGGCCAACAAAATGTTAGCATTTTGCATTTATTAAATTTCAAGATTTGAAGTCCTTTCAAATGCCTTGACACGGCCAGTTAACAGGGTTTTAGGTGCCCCATCCACAGTGAGTGCGCTTCGGCAGCTCCGTCCGTTCCGTCCGTTTCGTCCAGCTCGTGCGTTCCGTCGCTTCCATTTCGGTTGAGGCGTTTCGCATTGTCAGCGGAAATTATTTTGCTGTCAGCTGCCAGTCAGCATGTGAGGCCAGCGACTTGGCTGCATGTCCAATGTCCATTCATTCGCCTTCTGTGCCCTGTGCATTTCAAGCAGCCCAACAATGGGCGCTAGCCCCGGCCCGCTCCTCCTATGGCGCCCGTGCAGCATCATCAGCAGAAATCCAAATGGTTCCTGATGCGTGTGCCATCCGCTCCCTGGTCGTAGGTTCACTTTGCGCATATTAAAAACCCCTGGTCGCTGTGCATATCAAGACCGGAGCGCACTTTAATTATTTATTTATTCAAATGGTCTTGGGCTAAGCTGACAGCTGATATTTGATATAGCGTGCAGGGCGCGGCGCGGGGAGGGTGCTTTGCATTTTTTACAAGCTATTTTTTGGGGTCCATTTCAAAATAAAAGCAAAAAGCAGCTTATAAATCATGCAGGCCAAAATGAATATTTATTTAAAACTACTTTCAGTAAACTCATTTCCAATTTCAGATGATGGATATTTATAGGTCCGTCTCATAGAGGGTCCAATGCAATAAACGGTGCCACTTATTTCCAGTTCAAGATTGAATAATAAATCACAAGTTCAACTCAATTTTAATAATTAAACATAACAAACAAAAAAGTGTGGGAGGAGAGAGAGGAATTTTCCAAAACCCCATCATGTTTTTAGATAAAAAAAAAAAAAAAAAAACAAACAAAAAGAACATCCTTCTCCATTTGGTAAACACTTATTGGCATGATCTACGCTCTAGCTGAAGACGATTTTGTTGCCCTGAAAATAGCTAAAACTTAGCTTTCAATGAAAGAACTATTAGCTAAATGGGCACTTTACAACACTTACAAATGCCCAGCAGCTGCTGCTGCAGTTGCGTCTAGGTGAACAGTTCGACAAAACTGAAGCAATTCAGTTAAATGGCGGACACTTACCGTTACCGCCCTTTCGCCTCCCATCCTTCCCCCTCCCTGCCCCCTGCCACACACTCTATCACTCTCTCTCTTTCTCTCTCTCTCGTTCGCCGGCAATAATATGCAATTCGTAATAATGAAAAGCGTGCAAAAGAAAATATAACTAGGGGAACCTAAACATTTTGTGCGTCTAGCACCTGTCCGGCAACAAATGTGACGACGCCTAAGTAGATTTTCGTGTAGCAGGAGGCAGGAGGCAGGTGCCAGGTGACAGGGGCGGGCGCAGTGCAGCGGACCGGGTAGGCGGACGGGCGGGTGCTGGTTGCCCAACAGCTATTTAGTTAATTTTTCGAGCGTCGTCTGGGCCATTGAAAAATTACTCGAAGCTCTCTAGCCAACATTTTTCTTTTGATGTAATTGCCCGGCAGTGCGGGTGGTGAGGGGTGGGGGGCAATTGGGGCGCTAATGAATGGTGAGCGGGCGGGGCAAGAGGCGAGTGGCATACTGTTGGCCAGTTGGGTGCGGCTATTCATTGATTAACTGCTGGGACTCAACACTGCTGCCCAGCTTAGACGCCTCTCGGGCTCCTTATTCATTTGACATTTTCATTTTGGGCTTTTTGAATTCTCTTCTGCTTCGTGGTATTTATTTATTTTTTATTTTTATTTTTTTCATTTTGTTGTCTTGGGGTTCCGGCTGGCATTCAAAGTTGAAATACCTGAAAATGTTTGGTAATTTAGATCAAAGGCGGCAAGAACGTGCAGGCATTTACGTGCTATATACCCCTAGCTGCCCTGGCACAGTCCTGGCCAGGCACCCGGCACCCGGCACTCGACACCCTTCACCACCTTGACAACCCAGCGCGGCGGGCAGAACTTTCTGTGACACACGAAAATACTTCTTAAGTCGGATTAAGTAATTTTCGTGTGCCATTTTCAATTTGTTGTTGCTGTATGTTGCTTTCAGCATTTTACTCCAATTTTGTTTTTTTTTTTTTTTTAAGAGCCTACAAAATGCTGGCAAAGTTTTTGAGCCTTTCTGGTAGGCTTTGGTGGGGCTTTTCTTTTATGTGCCCACCACGGAGCGCAGCTGCACAAATAATCCGAAAACAATAGAGCATAGGGATGGTACTTAAGGCAATTACACGCAGTCAAAAATCGATAAGTTGGGCAACGGCATCAAACAAAGGAAAGTCGATAGTTGCTCTTATTGTAATTACACTTTTGTTCAAATAGCTCGAAAGTAAATAAGAAAGAAAGTCGTAAAAGAAAACTCAGTTTTGGACAATTGCTTTCTTCATGTTTTCATTCTGATCAATGCATTCGATTGGTCGAGCAGTGTTGCAAAACGAGCCTTTCAACTTGTCGTTGACAGAAAGCGAAATCGAAATGCAGTAGTGCCCATTAAACATGATCCAATCGGCAAATGGGCCCATCTTCAACCATTTTCAGATCTACCTTGGGTCCAACCAGATCCCGTATATTATTAATGCCATACTTGATCATTGTGGGCCGTTCCAGCGAGAGGCCCCAAGCAATAACATTCACATCTCTCGGCAGGCCCATGGGCAACAGCAGCTCCGGTCGAAAGACGCCCGAGTTGCCCACTTCAATCCATTTGGCCAGGCCGGGATGATAGCAGAATATCTCCATGCTGGGCTCCGTGTAGGGATTATATGCTGGCTTGAACTCCAACCGCGTAATGCCCAATTTGCAAAAAAATGCATGCAGAGTGCCAATTAGATCGCCCAGAGTCAGGCCAACGTCAGCGATAACACCCTCAACCTGATGGAACTCGGCGAGGTGCGTTGCGTCCAGCGTTTCGTTCCGAAATACTTTGTCAATGCTAAAGTACTTAGCGGGCTTAAAGCCGCCCGCCTGGTTGGCCAGCTGGAATAGAGTGCGTGCACTCACGGCCGTTGTGTGGGTGCGCAACAGATTCTTTTGCGCCTCAGCCAGTTGCCACTCATAGCCGTAGCCCAGCGAGCCATAGCCACCCACCGAATGCACGGTCTGCACGCGCCGCACATAATCCTCGGGCAGTTCGAAACAGTGGGCCGGCTGTTTGATAAAGAACGTATCGTGGGCATCGCGTGCCGGATGCTGTTGCGGCTGGAAGAGTGCATCGAAATTCCAGAACGATGCTTCCACATAGTTGTTTGTGGCCATCTCCGAGAAGCCCATCTCGAGAAAGATTTGACGAAACTCGGTGCGCACCTTTAGCAACGGATGCAGCTGTCCACGCATTGGTGACGCGCCCAGTGCATCAAAATTGTAGGCCTTGAACCTGAGCTGCTGCCACTGGCCGGTGGCCAGCATGTCCATAGTGAGGTCCGTTTCCAGCTTAGTCAGCGTGGTGGCAAACTTTGGTCCTTTGCTGAGCCGAAAGCTTTTGATGCTTAATTCCTGCAAGAGCTTGCGCTTTTTGTAGTCAGTCAAATCCGAAACCGACAGCTGCGCCTCGCCTCCTGCCAGCTGCAGCTGCAGCTGCAGCAGCTGCTCCTGCACATGGTCCACTATGTTGGCCACCCTGCGCCGGATTAGTGGCGGTTGCACGCTTTTGTCCAGCCACAGCCAACCTTGTGACATGGCCTTGCTGAAGCCCAGCTTGGCATTGCAGCCGCCCGAGGCCAGCAAGTCCGCCTGGGCTATGCCCCCCTCGCCGGGCACCGCAGCATAGATAATGGCCTCGTGGCTGCCACGCAACGCCACAGACTGTCCCTCCTCGGTCAGCTGAAGGGATTTGTGCGTAAGTGCCTCCGCTTTGAGCAGCTCGCCATGCGCCTGAATGCTCTTCACTGCGCCCACTATTTTCTGATGTTCAATGCCAAATTGTTGGGCCAAATGCAAAGTGTCTACCTCTTCGCAGCTCTCCAAATGCAGCAAAATGCGTTCTGTTAAATCGAACTCCATCTGGGAAGCCATTTTCACTTTTCACGCAAATCAACTTGATAACAAAATGGCGTGCACGAATTTACAGTTCAACTAAAAGGCAACGATTGCTGCTGTTTAGCCACTTTATCGATAACTACTCGTTGCGATAGTTTTAGATTATGGATGAGCTTCTTGAAATAGCTAGAAATGGCCGAAATGGCGAAGAGCTAGCTTACCTTACAGCTAATAGCCTAATTCCACTGTCAACATTTGTGACATTTGTTGTGGCCTGTACGTTTTCCCATAAAAAGCACATTTATCACATTTGAATAAACATTGTAAATATTAAATTGTTTGAGCATAATGGAATCCGTCTAGATCCACAAAAAGCGTATAACAGCTGTGGGAACAATCTACATATAATCTAGCATTGTGCATATTCTGCAACAATCTAATAATTTATATTTTTTTATCACAATTTCGATAGGTGTCGATGGAAAAGAACAAATGCGATATTTTTGACGATTATCGTTTATCGCCTTTGTGTGAATATCAAAGCGTGTTCCTGTGCATATAATTTGCCAGAAATTCTTTGTTTTATTTTTTTTTTTTTTGATGGTACTTAAGCTAAATGGGCATCAAAAGCAAATCTCATGCTTGAGTTAAGCGCATTAAAGGAGCTGTGCAATCAAGCTGCCAGTTTACTGGCATTAGTAATGAAATGTAAACACGCAATGTCAGCAAACTTTATATACACAGTGTCAATACATATGTTTGTATGTATGTATGTGTTCATGCGAATTGTAACAGACACCAGTTAGCAAAACAATGTTACGCATTTGAACAATTGCCTTTAGCTTTGTTACAAACTTTGTTGTAGATGAATTTCCCTTTGCTTTATCTGCGCTGAATCAAAATGTGAGACGAACTGCTGAAACTCAGCTGCAGCGGATGCCCAGCAGAAAATGTTGGCGCTGCATTCTTCTCAGCTAACTGAGCTGCTATTGAAGTCAACCAAATTGGTTGACTGCAATATACCCTGTACACAGTCTAAGAACTAAAGAATAGGCCTTAACTCTGGAATAGGACGCTACTCAACAAATCTTTAGTTGAGACTAAAGAATGCTGTGCTATGGCTTTTGCATCGCTTTCTTATCTTTCGGTGGATAAATGTGGTCCGATTGTGCAATGGTATGTCGGGTAAAAAGCTCAGACAGGAGACGCATCAAGAGTAAAGTACATCTCCAACTCCAAATCTTTTACCTGTCTGCCAAATATTCACTCAACAAAGTATCTTTCAATGCTGCTCTAAAGTAACTCGAAGGAGTATCGAACAGCCATTGTGTAGAGGGTGTACATTCAAATATTTAAAGGGTATTACAAAGCTGAGTACGTACCTGCTCTCTGCCACAGTCTTCACTTTGCTGTTAACTACTTTCGTCTTTTGTGCATATTTGCATAACTTTATCAACTTCTAGCTCAGCAACTTTATGGATTCGGCGTGTGTGCTATGGGAAACATGAGGCTTGCAATGCAAATTGACAGCTGTCAATCAAACGGGTCAGGCCCGGACAAACGGCAGCAATCGGCTGTATTATGCGAGGCAGCTTCCACTTGAGCCACAAAATGTGCGACAAGTAGATATCTATGTATATAAGTGCGTGTTGCACCAACAGATGCTACCAGAATATATCCAAGCAACTGCAGCTGGCGTTGCACTTCAAATTGATTAAGCGGCCCGATGCCGGCGGCGGGCCAGGTGGCAATTGGATTGGCCAAGTTAAGCTGCCAACTTTTTGCCCCAACTTGCGGGCCAAAACTTTGCCAGCAGCAGCTGCTTTTAATACCCTGTACCCGTTACACGGCCGGCAAGAGTTATATATGTTTAGCTAAAAAACTTATCCAGCCATTTGTATGCGTTAACCTGAAAGTATATGGAGTACATGTGCTATATAAGTTTACTTGGAAATCAATTTTCTACTCGCAAACGAACCAAGTATATTTCACTTTTGGAGCCTGTCATTATATAACAAATTTACTCTTCTTGAGTTGGCCAACTCTGGCCCCTGAAAACTTTATGACGATCCGACAAAATGACCAAAAGTTAAATGAGAATGACAAATCTAGGGTATGACCTAACCTCAACCAGGAATCATCTCGATTAGAGCACTTTTACTTGTTTAAAAACTATTTTATTGAGTGTTTTTTTCTTTAATAGGAGGAAAAGTATTCAAAGCCGAAAATTGTGCAACTTTCACGCAATAAACCAACACCTATTCTCCGTTTCGCTCTCACAAGGGGGACATGGCATGAAAGCCTCTTCTAGAATCTTATCGAGAGTTAGAACTCGAAATGCGCTGTCTTCCAGTGCGACGCCATGTGGGTTAATGCAACCCAATTGTTCTGCAAACTAAGTAGGATATCTATCAAGTCAGTCACTGCAAAAGTTCTCGCAATACTTTGGCTTAGCTCTTCCCGTTCAGTCGGGTGTATCCGTGTGTGTGTGTGCGTGTGTGTGAGCAGCTGCCAACTTTTCTAGCAACTCGCACACACTTGACAACTTCCGGTCGTGTTCATGTCTATGCAGCTACAACACACACACACACACACACACACACTTCCGCCCACACACTCTGTGTGTTTGTGTGAGCGAATGGTTGGATTTCAGAGTTGACGTCTGCCAGTTATTAAGTTTGCGGCCACAAACTTGCCGTCCACTAAAGTTTATGCTTCATTTTGATTGGCTTTGTAAGGTCACCACCCAATCACTCAATCGCCCACCCAGTGGCAGCGGCAAAAACCACGTGTCTTTTTTTAGTGGCCAACTCATAAAACTTCATTTCATTTCAGTTTTTATCTTCGCTTCCAAATGCGGCTTTCATACACTTAGATGTTACACATTTTGCCCACAGACTAGTTATAAAGCTTTGCTATATAGATATAAATATAATTATATATGTATATGTAGAGTATATATATATATTTTTCTGGCAAGCGTTATGTACGCTTTATAGCACACGTTATTCAGTTTTTAAGCTGATTTAACTGTGTAGTTTTGGGATTTTCATTTTGGGGATAATGTTGTGTGTGCTCCGCCCCATTTCTTTTGCTTTTATAAGTATGCCCAGCATATTTTCGCATTTATAAGTGCCGCTTGGGGCGTTTGTTATTTTAGCTCCTACCAACCATCCGCTCAAAAGCTGGATTGTTTTCTTTTTCCACTTAGCCTTTTTTTTTCTAAATGTTATTATATGCAAGTGCCTCAAGCTACCAAAGACAGCACCTAACCCGCCCACAGTTCGGCGCTGTTGAAAAGTTTACTCTTCATTTTTTCAATTTCAATCCGAATTTTTGCATAAAAATTGTACTATTTGTACTGCAATTATTTGTAATGCCCATTTAGTGCGCTTGCATACGGTTTGAATAAACGTAATTAATTTGAGTATGAGCATGAACATGAACATGAATATGAATATGAATATGAATATGAATATGAATAGCTTAACAAAGCGTTCAATAAATACTTTTGTCTGGCCATCTATGGTTTCACTAATTCTCACAAATTGAATGTTAAGCTGCTTGAATCGAATGAAATTTTACATTTCCATAAATCGAAAAGGAGCAAAAAGCAATTTGACATGGGTTTGGCATATCAGTCAGAGGCACTGTAAAGTGAGCAGCCTGCAAAGCGTTCATTTTACATGTAACATGCCCTTTTCAGGCATATTAACCTGGAATCGGCAGTAGCAGCAGGTTCGAAGGTAGCCAGTCGGAAAAATAATAGGTCAGCGATTGATTCGGTAATTTGTTATCGTATCTGCGACCAAGAATAACACTGTTTATGATTATCGGAGAGTAGGTTTACCTATCATCAAGAGAAGTACTTCTTAGCATATTAAAAGACCTTCTTTTATAAATGCTTCACAACGATCGGACTGGATGGTCCGATGCTATTTAAGAATACATTTGCCCTAGTGTGCAGCAGAGAGAAGCTGCCTAATAAATTTATTTCAACAAGACGCACTGATTCAAAGTTGAATTATAATACGCTCTGCAAAATTAATGTTATGATTAAGAAGTATAATTAATACTTAGTCTTGTGACGTCACAAACGAAGTAGCACAAATTGCATGTTTGATTCGTAGTCAGTTCAATTCGTTCAAAAGTATACTAATATAACATATAATATTAGCTTTGTATATGTAATTATGTATGATTTAAGTGAATTTGCTTTAGAAACTTATATTTAAACTTAACTTAGTCCTGATATTCTTTACAAGTACGGATTTATATGCTTTTACGTAGTTTTGGTTTTACCCCAAATATTTGGATTTGAATTAAAAAGACAAAAAAAAAAGTTAATAAGAAATTCAAAATTGAATTTTACTTATGAAATCCCCTTAATGTGTTTTTAAACCAACAAATATTCTTTTCTTCAATTTTTTTCAGTGTATCTCTGTGTCTCTGTGTGTAGCAAAGTCCCCAATCCCCGCCCCACTTAATCGAACAAAAAAAAAAAAAAAAAAACCGAAACGAAAAATAATCTCAACAAGCAAGCTCTTGATGTATGCTATTTGCTCGAAACTTTTGGACACTTCGGCTAGCCGAAGCCTAAATACTCTTTCCACATATAACATTGATATGGAGGATATTTAGTAGATATTTCATACACACGGATTAATCAAACACAAAATGGCAGCCAGCTTTGTAGGAATCTCAAACTTGTCCGATAATATCAACAAATTATATTCAAGAAAAATTAAATAAAATTGTCTGATGGAAACTTGAAGTGGAATTCCGAAAATAAAAGCGCAAAAAAAAGTTCACACATTTCACATACTTGAAATTACGTCAAGTATACTTGAAAAAAGTATGTGGGCTGCATTAATGGAATGTTAAGCAAATTGAAGAGGTTGGGGGAAAAAAAATGGAAGATATTTGCAATAGCTGCAGTTAATAAACTTGTTCAGAACAAGTGAAGCAATAACAAATGCATGGGGTAAATGCTTTGCGAAGGGAAAGAGTATATAAATTCCAACTGATTTCATTTTAATTTTCGAAACCAAACAGCAAAACTCTATCTAAAAGATAAACCAATAAAAAAAAAAAAAAAACAAATAAATCAAATTTGTTGGGTGCATTGGTGAAAGGTATGCAAAGGCGTTGTTAATTCAATGAAAAACTAATTCACGTGCAAGCTGAGGCAACCACACGCACGACCGAAGGAACACGCCAGCAACAGGACAGCAACAACAGTACAACAGCAACAACTACAGCAACAACTACAGCAACAGCAGCAGCAGCAACAACAACAACAACAACAACAGCAACAACAAAAACAACAACTGAGAGTCATATAGCAATATTTGTGGCAAATAGCTCAGTTTGCAATTGGATAACTAAAGGGATCTGCACCGCTGCAGACGCAGAACGCCATGCGCCATGTCAAAACTGCGGCATTACAGGTCCATGGATCAGACCAGCAGCGGCGTCGTCATACGCAAAAAGTTAGCTACTTAACAAATCTTAAAATCACATCTTAGCAACTGACCAAGCATATCTAAACACACAATAAAACACAGCAACAACAACAGCAACAGCTCGAAAAGCAGCTATTGTTACTTTAGCTTCTATCGGAACGCACTTTACTGCAGTCGTCTTTTGCGTTGCCATAAACATTTTTCAACTCCACCACAGGCACACATCAGCTCACCATAGCACATCACCCACAGCAAGAGCTTAACGAGCTTAAAGTTCAGCATGTCACATTTGCAGATTTTTTAAACACTTTGCATGTGCTTTTATCGCATAAGATTTTCGCATGTTTTCATTTTAATTAAGCACTTATCATTTTGCACTCGATTAAACAAAGCTCACAAGCGTTATCGTGAGTCAGGCTTTACAGCCAAAGCTCCAACGGTGAAAGCTTTCTTGAGCAACCAACATTCGTCCTGCCTTAAAAGACAGGAAGCGATAAAGTAATGTACAGCTCCAATCTTTTACACAGTTGCATGTTAATGATCAATTAAAATGGACGCCCGAGAGCTTTATAAACAATTTCTTAAATTGCCTCAAGTTGTTCAGTCCGATTTTGTAAAAACATATATCATTGAAAAAAGCTTTTTACATTGACAAAAGCTTTTACTCAACGTAGTGTCCTTCGTCTACAAATTTGGGCACAGCACATAAACTACCTAACGGTAATAAAAGCTCAAAGGGAAACTTGAATGAAAGCTTTCACTGTTTCACGCTTCCGAATACATGCACTTTTAGCTTTTACCAAGCTAAAAGCTCTTTCGCAAACCATTAATGAAAAAAAAATCCTTGCTCGACTTGGCCCGCGCCCAACTCAATCCGCACTTTCCTCACATACGCTCCGCTTACTTATCCCTGCCGCTCCCTGCGGTATTTACATGGCTGCTTCTTTATGCATTATCCTTGTCGTTGCAGGACTATGACAGCCGTATGCTTTGTGTGCAACCTGCCCATAATGTCGCATCAGGTTGGTCTGGTGTGGCAGGGCGGCAATGGCTGGGACGACTTGGTGCGCGAACAGGTTAGTCAAGCTCATGGCCTAAGCCCCAAAACTCTCGCCTAAATCTTTGTCTGTCTTTCTCTCTCCCTCTCTCCTTCTCTCGCTCTCTCCCTCTCTCCTTCTCTCGCTCTCTCTGCAGCTCGAAGAATCTACGATACGCCAGCGTCTTGGAGGCCGACGCGATTCGGCCGCACAGATCACAACGCCGCCGAGTTCATCACCGCCTCCTGGCTTGCAACGACGCCGGCGCAGCTCGCTGGCTCAACTCACTGACATCTTGCGCGAATGGAGCGGCGGTTCCAGCAGGCAGCAGCAGCAGCAACAACAGCAACAGCAGCAGGCGGCTCGCAACAAGGCGCATCTGAATCGCCGCGAAACGCTAGCCGATCTGGCACGCAGCCTTCCCTGGCGCACCTCCACCACAGATGCCAGCACTGGCGGCAACGTTGGATCCGGCTCCGGCAGTGGAGTCGGGAACACCACCTATGTGACACCGCGCAAGCGACGCGAATCGAGTGCCGATTCTGGGATACGCAGCATACGCTCTCGCCGAGACTCCAGCACCACCGAGTTCGTCAAGCACTGGAACCGTCGCGAGAGCACCACAGTTGAGGAGCAGTCCAGCAGCGTCGTTGTGCCCATTGTTGTCGAGTGCTCGAAGAGTGTAAGTTGATTTTTGTTATACATTAAGTCCCCAGCAAGGTTGGCATTCTGCGGAAGAGTATGCCTAACCAAACTCTATCGCAGTCTCTGTCTGCATTAGCTGCTCTCTAAAAGTACAACTCCATTGTTTGGAAAACCTTTATAAGCAGAAACTAAGATAAAACGGGCCAGATATAGTTGATGGGAAGGGGCCTTTGTTATCTAGCATTTACGGACTAGTATTCCCTGCATGCTATTATAATCAAGAAGTATCAGCCTTTAGGTTTCCACAATTAAAAACTATCCTTGAGCCTTAAATCTTGGTTAATCAAACTATGAAGGTTTGAAAAAAAAATCGCTGAAATTATTTTCTCCATTTAAATAAAATAAAAATAGATAAGGCAAGACCTCACACCTTTGATGTCAGGGCAGTATAAAAGGATACAAGTGCTAGCTACCGCTATGGATTGTGGTTCCGTGCCTAAGAATCCTGCATTAGCTAGAAAATTATATAGTTACTAGAAGACCTTCCAGCTCATCCAAGCTTCTATAGATATACATAGGTAGAAAAAGTGCTTGAGTTATCTTCTTTGAAATCGGTCGAACCACACCTATTGAGTGCCCCGCCCAGAATACAGAGTCTCTCATTGAGTCAGTCCAGCATCCACAACCAACTAACCTAACCTATGCACACCTCTCTCTCTCTCTCCCCCTCTCTTTTTTTTTTTTTGTTTTCTCTCACTCGCTTTGGCGCACGTTGTCCTGTAACCAATGCATGCCGCAGGCCTCGCGACGCGGCTCCGGCGAGAGCTATTTGTCTAGCAGCCGACGCGACAGCAATGTTGCGAGTCGCGTGACAACGCCGCCTCCACCACCCAAATACCAGGTGACCAAGAAGCGTGACTCGTTGGCCGCACCGGAATTTCCCAATTTTCGGCAGGAGCAGCGTCCCTCGACCAGCTCCGCCGGCTCCTGCTCAGACTCTGTGCCATTGATCTCAACCAGCACTTATCACCATCAGCAGGTAGATTCCGCCTGCCAGGCATTGCCGCCGCCGACCATTATAACCAGCTCGGTAACGCCGCCGGCCACTAGTCCGACGGCGCCGAAGGGTCGACGAGACTCCACCACGCAGTGCGGACGTGTCAATCGGCGCGACTCCAAGGCGGGCATCAGTCCGGAGCGGGCGCCACGGCTGCAGCGACTACAGCGGCAGGCAACCGCCTTCGATGAGAGCTGCCTGCCCGGCGGCAGTCGACGGGGCTCCCAGCCAGCACTCAGTCCTGATCCACCCGAGGACTGTGAGCGTCGCACCTCACGGCGCGATTCCCTCTCGCCGGATAGCGCATCGCGCGGCGGTCGACGCGACTCCCGCACACATCTCTCACCGGATCGCTCGCACGAGCGGGACGGAAGTCCCAGGCGACATACACTGCGACGGCAAAGCAGCTCGGCGGCCCGTTCACCGCGCTCCCCGGACTCAAACAGTTGCTCCTCATCGCGTGATCCCAGCCCGTGCTCGCGCCCGCAAACGACCACCGTCGAACAGAATCAACGGCCCGCCATACGGCGCCAGTCCACCACCGAGGAGATTCTTATAGCGCGTGGCTTCCGTCGCCAATCGACCACCGAGGAAATGATACGTTGTCGCAACTTTCGACGCCAGAGCTCCCAGAGCGATGATGTCTGTCGGTGCGTAACGCAAACCCATCCCACACATACCCCCAGATATCCTCGACTAATCAAACGTTTATCTCCCATGCAGCTATCGTGGCAGACGCGACTCATCGGCCCAGATCATTGATGGCACCATCGGCACCATGACCGTGGAAACAACAAGCACCTTTTTTGACTCCAGCACCCAGACAGGTGAGTCCCACATGCATATATGTCTCTAACTTGTTGTAGAACAAATATCGCGTTAAGGGTCAGGTCGGGACTAGAAACTGATTCTACAAAATTTAATAATCCATTGAAAGTTACTCTTCTGAACATATTTGATAATAATTTCTGATATGGCTAAGTTCAGTTTTTATCGATAGTTATCTTATGTTATATTTTACAAAAAGAAATTGCATATAAGTATGAGAATATAGTTAATTTAACCAATTCAAATTTTGGAGAAAATAATCCCCGACCATTTTAGTCTAGTGGAGTGGAGTTTCGAAGAGTTTTGGATGGGTTATACCATCTGCTGAGGCTTACCAAAGGAATAATATATTTTTCTATTTTTAATGTATTTTTCGATAGCAAAAGTTTAGGGAAGGAAGATTTAATAAATTGTCGTCACAGAGCATACAAATCGTCGAAGACAAAGCCAATTCTCAATATTGGCAAATACAATGATGTATTATGAAAAACCAAATATCTGCAATCGGATGCTAGTCACAAAAAACAATTCCCACTGCGCAGCAAATCAAATTGTTTTGCTGTACTTTTGCTTCTTGTGGTCCATTGCGTTCGAAAATGAATTTCTGAACGGGCACCGAGCATAAATCAGATATCAATGCGGTTTGTACAACGCTGCGTATGCGCAAGATTTTCATGCAATAAACGCAGCGTGAGCCACACAAATTAATTTTCAATTCTGTTTTGGCTTTTTGATTGGACTTTTCGAACAATTGAAAATGCATGCACAGAGTTTTTTCTTTCTCCCTGAACAATACGAACTGCTTCCTGGGTGTTCATTTAATTGACCTGCCTTTCAAAGGATTAGCTGGTAGATAGACAGAACGTCAAGTTGTCTATCTTGCTGCAGGCAATATATATATATATATATATCTGTGTCGCCATATATATCTGGCAGCTCTATAATAGTACCCATAACAAGAATCGGTCGAATAAATGAGCACCTTTTATGTAAATCCTTTTCTCTTTTCGACATGCAATCCCTATAATGTTTACTTCTCATATCTTATTGGAATTTGAATACAATCTTCCATTAAAAAATAACTTCGTAAATTAACCTCTACCAAAACAGTTTTAAATATTGCAATAGAGTACAGATGTGCTTAACGACTGCAAGGGTATTTCATAGCCGTTCTTACTGCCATGCATTTGAAAAGCGAATAAATTCGAACAGCTCCACAGGTGTTAATTCAATTTGAATCTCTGTATGAAAAACTTCTTTGTTTAAACATTCTTGCAATAGAAAAAACACAACTTCGGGCACACAAAGGTATCTACTTTTGAGTAAGATCACCACGGAAACTATATTTGCAATGCTATCGAAGCAGAATTTTAAATAACTTAAAGTGAAAGCTTTTCGCCAAGCTTGTATTGGATACATCTCTCTATATTATCATACCAAACGTATACTCTATATGCCCAAGGACATCCTACATACCAAATTTGTTGTAACTCTTAAAAGCACCACGACATGTACAAAATACAGGATGTCGATAGCAATTTTGTGGACATGGATTAATTTATTTATGATTTCACATAAGTTCGACCATTTCGTGCATTTCAAAATTGTTAAGCCTCCGAGAGCAATGCCCTCATATACATGGACAGACGTTCGGACCGAGAGACGGACGTGACTAGCTCGGCCCGGAAGCAGCTGCTGTTCAAGAGTATATATATATTTTATGGGCCTGCCTCTGCCAGTTATATACATATTAGAAAAATATTATACCCTTAAAAAAGCCTGCTTCAACTCGGGCCAGTGCATCAAATTGTTGGCGCGAATCTTGAAATTCAAATAGCTAACAGAAAAGGGGGCTGCCAACTTATGCGCATATCCCAGAGAGCTTTGCCGTAAGCTTAACTCAATGGCAGTTGTTGCTGTAGCCAGGAGAAACGTTATAAAAGCTAGCAAAAGCTTTGAACAGCTGCTGTCGCTTGGCCCATCAGCTGTTAACTGGCGCCGCGCTGCCAACTTGGCCGAGAAAAGGGATGCCAGCGCCAGGCTGAGGATGGCAATGACAACGCACGCTTGCCGTGCATCAGTTGGTGTTGAAAACCTCAACGTGCCACAACAGCAGCAGAGCAGAGCCCCAAGCGCCAAGACGAGCACACCGCGCCCCAAAACATTCAGAGTCCGCGAGCTAGGAGGCGAGAGGAAAGTCGCCACGCGGGTTCCCCAATATCGTGTCGAGTCGAGTCGAGTCGAGTTGATTCGAGTTGAGTTGAGTCGAGAGTTGGCTAGTAGAGAGTTTCGCATCAGATATAAACGCGGCCTTTTTTTGGTATTGTTCGCATCGTAAACTGTAAATACAAATGAAAATTGGCCCAAAGCGTTACGTTTACCATTTTCCCGCTCCGCGTGCTTACTTGCTCCTGCCGGCCCGCGTCCCCTCGACCGACACGACCCCGCTAGCTCAGTCTCTGCGCATAAATTTATTGTTCGTTCCCGCTCTTTCTCTATTTACATTACTTTTTTTTTGTTCCTGTGCCGCACTTCACATATCCAAAATAATATAAAAAATCAAATAAACAAAAAAGCAAAAAGAAGTCGAAAACAGTAAAGCGCGCAAAAAGTTATTGTTATTTTGTTTTTGTTTTTGTGCGCGGCACTTGGAGGCGCGTGTTGCATAGTTTTGGGCGCGTGCAGCAACAACAACAAACGGCAGCGCGGTGGCCGAGTCCGTCGCCACCGACGCTGCGGCGCTGCGCTACGGTCGCCGTCACCAGCAGCAGCAGCAGCAGCAGCAACATCAGCCGCAGCAGCAATCGACCAGCAGCAGCGCCAGCAGCAGCAGCAACCGCAGCCGCAGCGGTCTGTATATAATTTTAATACAAAATATAGATATATATATATATATATGTCGTGTATCCAATGAATTATTGTGAGTATTATTTTGAATGCTAACGATTAAGTGTTAGTAAGAATCAGAGAATTTGACAGAAGGTACTGCTATTTAACATAACTGTCCTACTTGTATTAGGGTTGCTACTGAAAGCATGGTGTGAGACAAAAAAGATAGTCTCTGCCGAGCATGGCCCGAGTGTGTTGTATAACGTCCAGTTTGCTATAGTGTTGAATGTTCACTAACAGTACTAAAAGTCAGAGAAGAATATAGAATGACAAGAGCATGAGTAGTATGCTCGAGGACGATGAAAATTATTCATTCTAAAAGTGGAAGTCATAGAGAACAGACGTGCTCGCTCCTAAAAATATAATTATTTTGTGACTATAACGACACTCGGGACTTGCTGTACTGCCAGTATGCCTAATTGCAAGGAAAGTGATTTCTCTGTTCCGACATCAGAAGTGGGATTAGGCGATGCCCCTCCACGAGGCAATTCTGACGATTCGTGGCGTCAGCTTTTGGAATCTCAAAATCGAAATATTCTTGAGATTATTAAAGCAATGCAGATATCAAATTCAGCATCCTCAACAAAGAAGAGCATCTCGTTGCCAAAGTTCAACCCGGACATTGCAGGCGCAGATGCAAATGCCTGGTGCAAAACTGTGGACATAATACTTGACGATAATCCTATTGAGGGCAGTACACTGGTGATGACCCTCAGCGGCTCCCTAGAAGGAAGCGCCTCGCCCTGGCTTTCTCAAATATGCTATACTGGAATGAACTGGCAAAATTTTAAGGAATTGTTTTTGCAACGTTTCGTGGGAATGGAAACATCGGCGGCAACTTTAATGAACATTTTTAATGGCCGACCGAATGATGGCGAATGCCTCTCCGTATATGCGAGCCGTCTTGTGACCTCACTTTTATCCAAATGGAAGACAGCGAACATGGAGGAAATTGCAGTCTCAGTTGTTTTGGCACATACATCGAAAATCGACAAAAGTCTGCAACGTATGTTATATACGACTAATATTAAAAGTCAAGACGAGATGCAACAGCATCTGAAGGCCTATGCTTATGGAAGGTCAAATGGAGGTCTACAGCCAAATATCCCAATGGAACCAGATCGCAAGAGATCGAAAACATATGGCATTAAATGTCATCATTGTGGAAACCTCGGACACAAAATGGTCGAATGTCGCAAGAGGAAGTATGAAGAAGGCAACGTGTCAAAAAACTCAGCATTACCTAAAGTTCGATCTGCCGTTACCTGCTTCAAATGTGGCGATGCTGGCCACATTGCGTCTTCATGTACGAAAGGAGTTTCTACGAGCGGTGTTGGATCACATGACAAGCGTATAAACATCTGTTGTGTGTCCGAGCCAAAAGGAATCCTGCGTCAATCTGGTGAGCTCGTTCCATTTTGTTTTGACTCTGGAGCGGAATGTACGCTCATCAGAGAGAGTTGTGCCGAGAAATTTTCCGGAAAAAGAATTAATAATTTGATAGTTTTGAGGGGTATTGGAGAAAATCCTGTGTATAGCACTATGCAAATCTTGGCTACTGTTAAAATTGATCAGTACTCCTTAGAAATATTATTTCATGTAATAATGGATAAGTTTTTGAAATACGATGTATTGATAGGCCGTGATATACTCGGATTAGGCTTTGGAGTCTCCATCGAGGCCGACAAATTTGAAATGCACATAAACCTAGCTGAGATAACCGACGATTGGCTTCTAGCCGAACAGCAACGAGATTCTGACATTGCTTCCATAACCTTAAAATTGCGAAACCATAAGATGGGAGAAGCTATCTCAGCGTCGTACGAATTGAGAGCAGGAGTATTATATCGAAGGATTCAAAGAAATGGCAGCACAAAATGTTTGCCTGTAATACCTAGAGCCTTTAGATGGTCAGTCATTAACAATGTTCACGAAGCCATAATGCATTTAGGGTGGAAGAAAACTCTAGACAAAATGTATGCCAACTACTGGTTCGAGAAGATGTCTAAGTATGTGAAAAAGTTTGTAGAAAATTGCATTACCTGTAGAGTGTCAAAACCACCATCTGGTAAGCTACAAATAGAAATGCACCCGATTCCTAAAGATGACA